CCTCGACCCCTAAAAGTCATTTTGGAGACTGAAGCACAGGCCCAGCTCCTGTTACAGAGAAAATCATCTCTGTGGGGTCAGCATCCTGAAGTTATTTCAGCCGGATTACGGGCCATAAGAGCGAATGAAAATGAGAGAGCCGATAATGGAGCTGAGAAAGCGGAGAAGCAGCGGCGAAGGCCGTCATTCTGACAGCCTAATCAATGCAAAGGCGCCAACTTCTGAAGCTTCTAGCACCAGTGGCCGCTGTCTAGAAATCTATCACATTAACTGTCAGAGTCTCCTCAACAAGTTTGATGAACTCAGATTACTAGTCTCTGAACAGAAGCTTCACAAAATTGTCCTAACAGAGACATGGTTGACTGAGGAAATAATTAATAGCGAAGTCAGTATTGAAGGCTGCCAACTGTTTCGTTGTTACAGGTTTCAATGTAGAGGAGGAGGCACAGCGATTTATATGTCTAATGAAATTTCGTGCTGTCAGCGAGAAATATCCGATGGGGCGCCGTGAAATTTTGAAAAAAATTCATGCAAGATATGTATCAAGCGATTACCAACACTGAACCTATGTGTTGTCTATCGGTCTCCCAGCTCGACCGATATGGAATCACTTAGTGCACTGGAGTTGTCATATAAGCAGGAGTACTTACTACTTCTGGCTGACTTTAACGCTCCAGGAATAGACTGGAAGATTCCCCTAACAAACGCCCCGTCCACGTCATTTGACCACAAGCTACTACAACTATCTCTGAATGAATACCTCATTCAACACATAAAATTCGGAATAAGAATGAGAGAAGGACAACGATCTAACTGTTTAGATCTCGTTTTCAGTAATGAAGAAGGCCGCATAAGGGAAGTGAATCTACAACCGCCACTCGGTTTAAGCGATCATTTTGCATTTACTTGTGTGTGCTCTCTCCTATCCAACCAACAACCAAAAATCAAAAGGCGCAGAAACATTTGGAAAGGTGACTTTAACCCAATGAGACGTACTCTTTTGAAGGAAACCGGGTTAGTCCACATGAAAGATTCAGACGAATTCTGGCAGTACCTTCGCGGGATTATAGAGCGTCTAATTGACTCCCATTGTCCAAGAAAAATGACAAGACCATGTATGCGACCGCCGTGGGTCTATCCGACGACCAAAGGAGACCATGAGGAAGAAACAAAGACTCTGCAAAAAGTTTTAGCAACTTCGAGATCCAAGGTCATTCGTCAAATATAAGGATCAGCGCAATAAATGCCGCAAACAAATACGGGTTGCCAGAGCTGCTTTCGAGCGTCGACTAAGAGCAGAATCCATTACATGTCCTAAGATGTTTTACGGGTACATCCGAAGTAGGAGGAAACATAGGGACCGAATTGCGTGTCTAAAGGATAGTCTCGAAAGCTTAGTAGTTGAAGGGCCACACAAAGTGCAATTACTGTCTCAGTTTTTTTTCAATCGGTTTTTACGGAGATGTCCTCAGAAGACAATCAGCAGTTTGAAATGGACCGAGACAGCCCGGAGCTTCAAATTCGCCAGGATACTGCCGTCATTGAAATCGTCGCCTTTTCCGTCGAAGCAGTAAGACGCGTCCTCAGTCAAATAAAACCTGATAAGTCTCCCGGACCCAACGGAATTCCCGGGCTAATACTTAAGCAGCTAGCAACGGAGCTGTCGAAGGCTCTTTCGACTCTCTTTGAGTTGTCAATGAGAACAGGATGGTTGCCATCACAGTGGAAGACAGCCAACCTCGTTCCCCTACATAGGGCAGGTAGCAGGATGACATTAAGCACATTCAGGTTTATTAGCTTAACTGGCCTTCCTTGCAAAACGATGGAAGCTCTAGTAAAGAGCGTTATGCAGCAGTTTTGTGAAGAAAATAACATCTTGCAGGATTTTCAACATGGCTTCCGGAGAGAAAGTTTCTGCTTCTCAAATCTGCTAGCTTGTCTGGAGATCTGGACCAAGGCTCTAGAAAAGGGTTTTGAGGTCGATGTCGTGTACATCGATTTCCGCAAAGCTTTCGATACCATTCCGCACCGACGTCTTCTTCACAAATTGAGCGCCATCGGCATCCGGGGAGATCTTCTGAACCGGATTAGGGCATTTCTGTTCGGTCGGAAACAACGCGTCTGTATCGGAGATGATATGTCTGAATGGGTGAACATGACCAGTGGTGTGCCTCAAGGCTCAGTTCTGGGACCATTGCTCTTTACGCTTTATGTTAATGACAGCCTTCAGGAACTCGACTGTGGCAAAATAATGTTTGCGAACGACGTTAAGCTCTAGCAAGTCATTAAAGGAACGAATGATCAGAGATCCCTTCAAGATAATCTGCACCGACTGCAAGCGTGGTCGAAGAAATGGCTTCTTGATTTCAACGTGGAGAAGTGTGCTGCCTTTGCGTCCAACCAACTCTCATTCAAATGAGAGCCCGAAGACATAACAACTGAAAGATATAAGGCTCCCCGCAGAATCTTCACAGAAAGAGCTCGGTGTTTGAATAGAGAACAGTAGATGCCATATTTTTTGACTTCAAGAAGGCCTTTGAGAGTGTCCTACACAGTCTTCTTTTACAGAAGATCTGGGACGTTGGAATTCAAGGAAAAATGTTTAAGTGGATCGGGAGTTTTCTGTCCTCCGGACTACAAAGAGTCGTCGTTAGTAATTCTACCTCGGAATGGGTAAAGGTGGAAAGTGGTGTCCCACAGGGTTCTGTCTTAGGCCCAGTACTCTTCCTGATTTATGTTAATGACTGCATCAGCGAAGTGAATTGCGAGGCTCTCATGTTCGCGGATGACATAAAAATATGGAGTGAAGTCAAGTGTGATGATGACGCAGAGAAGTTGCAGTCGAACATCAACAAACTGTGTGCTTGGTCGAACAGATGGCTTTTGAAGTTTAACGTGTCCAAATGCGTGGCTTTGCACCTGAACACCGGCCGCAATGCCTCTCCCAAACACCAGTGCTATATTGACGGGATGAGGTTAGAAACTGTAGAATGACATAGAGATCTGGGTGCATGGACGACCACCAATCTATCGCCATCAGAACACTGCAGAAAGATGGCCCAGAAGGCAACTAGTACTCTACACTGGATCAGACGTGCATTTAAAATATTTCCTCCCGAACTTTTCGAAAGACTCTTTGGTGTCTTTGTAAGACCCCATCTAGAGTATTTAATGCCAGCAGCTTCATCATGGATGAGGAAGGATATCAACTTACTCGAACAGGTGCAACGCAGAGCGACAAAGATGGTCGACGGTCTAAAGCATTTGTCTTATCAGGAGAGGCTGAATTTGCTTGGCCTATTCCCCCTCTCTTATAGACAAATAAACTGCAGTCTACTCTGGGCGTTCCGGATTGTTCGCGGCCAGGGCTGCTCATTAAGAGCATAGGACTTCTTTGAGTTCGTTCGTACAAACCAACGGCGCGGCCATGCATACCATGTCGGGAATGAGCGCACGCGTTTAGACCGACGAAATTGTCATTCAGCCAGCGGGTTGTCAGGCCGTGGAACTCGCTTCCAAGCGAGATGGTGACGGCTGACACAGTTTGTGTGCTTAAAAGAAAACTTGCTCGTCTAGTTTTCGACAGAAATCGGCTTGTACAGCATGACTATGCACAGCCAGTTTTGTAAAATCTGTCATAGACAATCTTCCGCACTAATTTACAGTGACCCTATACACTACCTTATGATTACGATTGAACTGTGAACCAATCACATTTGAAACTTCTGCAATTTTATTTTTGAGTACGAAACTGCGAAAGCACTCTACATAAATAGGGTCATCAAGGGCTCTGCCTGTAACCCTTCACTATATACATATATACATATAACAATCTGAAACCAACACTGCAGTGCCACAAGGCTGCAAAAAACGCCATGGGAGTGCTGCATGCAGTCAAAAGGGCGTTCGTAACCTTTGACTAAGACCTTTTTAGGAGAGTTAACGGCACTTTTGTTCGGCCCCACTTAGAATATGGCCTACAAGCGTGGTGGCCAAGGCTAGTAAAGGACCAAGCATGCCTCGAACGGGTACAACGGCGTGCAAAAAATCTGCTTAACGGTTCAAAATCCTTAGACTCGAGATAAGTTGAAATTCATTTATAACTGAAATATTTGACATATTTCTCTGTCGATTTTGCGTCGATTTTTATTAGCTGTCGAAAATAACACATAAATCCATTACACTCTCCCCATTTAACCATGACTGATGTTACGTTTGCTGTCGACAAAGTAGATCTTTCGGCCATCGTCCGTTTACAGAAGTTCATCGAGAAACATGAACATATTTTTACGATTCTCGATTCACTAACAGACTCAAATAGATTCACGAACAACCTAACGAGCCTACCACAAATTGAATCGATTATACACTTAGTTTCGTCAGAAGTCGCGGATAGATCGAAACGCAGGCTCAATTTAATTATCCGTAATATACCCCACACTGTTAATCCGATGCCATCAATTCAAAATTTTATACATTCGTGTGGCTTAAATATCAGAGTAGCTAACACTAAAAGACTTCACTCCAGAAGCAAAAACAAACCCGTCTTAGTAACATTCTACTCACAGGCGGAAGCTGAGATTGTCCTACAAAATCCCGAAGTAAACAGAAATCTGCGGAACCTAAACTCGTTTATAGGTCCAGATTTGACACCTATGCAAAGACGTAAACTACGGGAAAAAGACACCAGCTACAAATAGGATAATCAGCACTCCGGTCCCTCAACTGAACCTTTAGCCACTACTTCTACTTCTAGCACTAATAAAAAGAAATACACAGGCCAGCGTAAACCAAATGATATACCCACAGCCCCCGCAGAAGGGCCTCCAGCAAGTACGTCTGACTCTGGTTCTCATGATAAAAAGCACGCAACTGCAAAAACAGTTAGAACTGCTGGTCAGAAACAAACGAGGAAGGCACAACAAAATAACAACGTTCAACCAGAACAAAACGATGATGCAGATCCCGGACCGAGTCATGTGACACCCTTAGATAGCAGTATAAGTTTTACTACATCCCCCAAGACCGATCAGTCAGTACTAGAAAACGACTACCAAACAAGACACATAAACCAAAAGGCCTTACTAAGCACACCAACACAACCAAAACGCCCTAGGTATGTTGACATAACAAATAGAAGCCCACCAAACTCTAGCCAAAAACAAACAAGCTTTTATAACCGCATCTCGACTCCCCAAAATCCACCTGCATGGCATAGGAATAAGCCAAATCACTCTAGCATTGCAAACTCCTTACCACCTAATTACAACCCTTCAAATTACTTTGGCTTGTACACCTCCCCAACTGAAACTCCATTTAGGTACAATTACCACCTAGTTAACGCACCTCCCCATATGTACCCTCAGTCCATACACACTAGCCCATGCACTCACACTACGCCATACGCATCACCATATCCTCCAAGAATCACACACCTACCTCCATTTAGTCCATCACTCACTCAAAGTACCCCCAGAAATCCTTTTTTTCACCAGAGCCCACCTCTTCCATATCCAACATCCTAAAGATAGCTCTTATAAATTCCAGATCGATTGTCAACAAAATATCCCAACTTAGAACTTTTGTTGAAATATATGACCCCGATGTAATTTGCATTACAGAAACATGGGCAAATGAGCTTATATCGAATGCTTCACTATATGTCCCAAATTATAATTTCTATCGACAGGACCGTGTTAATAAACGAGGCGGAGGTTGTCTTATCTACATCAAAACTACCTAAACCGCCCAGAAATAGACTGGGTCGAATTATCAGCACCTACCAGGCACGAAGAATTCTTGTCTTCAATTATCTTTAATAACTGGACACAGATAGTTGACAAACCCACCCGAGGAAACAATATACTAGACGTTATTTTCACCAACGATATCTGGCCCCTCTATATGCACTACGACTGCGCAACCTTTGAAAGTGACCACAAAGCAGTAATATCAACACTCCCCTTAAACGCAAAACTAGCACCCCATTTTAGTAACACCCGCCTAAACCCAAAAAACTTGACGAGGACTCCATGAACAACTATATTAGATCATTGGACTGGAGCCCTTATGTTCTTACAACATCCCCTATGGAAGCAGTTAACCTATTGTACTCTGTCCTATTTGTAATTCGAGATACCTTGATAGACGAAAGACTCCCGTATAAGAAATCACCAATCGCGAAATTCCTTTCAACTAAACTAAAAAAGCTACAAAAACAGCTACGCGACCCCTCTGTGAGTTATTTTTCCACACTTCGACGAATTAGGGAAATTCACGACCTAGTCACGAAAATGGAAACACAAAAGACCATAGCAGCAGAACATCGGGCACTAGAATCCCCCGAACGAACAGCTCAGATGTTTCAGAAACTAATGAGTAATCATCGACAGTCAGGACCACGAACTATTATTAATGAATTAGGGCAAGTTATAACCAATGATAAACAAATAGTAAACTTATTCAACAGATACTTCTCAGCTAACTACACAGTCGAAGAGGGAACCATCCCCCAAGCGACCGAGATGACTGAACGCATCCTTAGTGAGATCCATTTTAGTGAAGAAACTGTTAAAGTAGCCATCAAACAACTATCAAACACCAAATCCTATGGGACAGACAAAATCCCACCATGTATTCTGAAGCATATGACATATGCTCCAATACTCCTATCTAAGTTATTCACCCTACTCCAGTCGAATGCAATTTTTCCGGACATGTGGAAATACTCGACCATTGCGCCCATATTTAAAAGCGGCAACCGATCTCATACCAAAAACTATCGTGGTGTTCACCGAACACCGGCTATAGCTAAAATCCTCGAGAAAATAGTATATAACCAATTGCTAGACCATCTCATGAACGCCAACCTCATTCCCTCCTCTCAACATGCATTTTTGCCCAAAAAGTCATGTCAGTCCTGCCACCATACTTTTTTGGAATTCGTTTCCAGCAATAGAGATGATGGAAACACAGTAGCTTCAATATACTTCGATCTAAGAAAGGCCTTTGACAAAGTCCCCCATAAAAGACTACTGATAAAGCTAAAAAGTCATGGAATTAGGCCACCCCTTCTTGATTTTCTTAAATCTTATCTTCAAAACCGATACCAGGTGGTGCAAATTCGAAACGTCGTTTCAGAACCATCCCCTATTACCAGTGGAGTACTTCAAGGCACTATCCTAGGCCCCCTTCTATTTCTTATATATATTCACGACTTATCGTCCATATCTGTCTCAGCTAAGACGTTCTTATATGCGGACGACCTTAAAATTGCATATGCATATAACGGGAATACAGTAGCCAATATTCATAGAACAATTCAAACTGATCTCAGAAAACTCAGCGAATGGAGTAGTCAGTGGCAGATGCCCTTTTCACCCGAAAAATGCCATCTCCTGATATTTGGCCCACAAAAACTTCCCCCCATAATATTCGAGAATGATGAAATAACAGAGACCCAATCTGTAAAAGATTTAGGTCTCAGCTATACAAATACCCTTGATTTATCTCCCCACGTCCAACAAATATCACCGAAAGCCACTCGCCTGTGTGGATTCATATGTAAAAATTTCACCTTAAATGCACTAAGAATACAACTGTTCAAAATGTATGTTTTACCTCTCCTAGATTACTGTTCAATTTTCTTCGGCATAATGCCCTCAGACGGCCGAAAGAAACTAGAAGGCATTCAGAGACGGTTTACTAGATCCTTGTCTAGAAGTGATGGCATCCAGGGTTCATACTTAGAACTATATCATAAATACGGTCTTCGACCACTCTGGATCAGAAGACTTCAAAATGGTCTAAACTTCCTATTCAAGGTCACCCACGATCAAGATATTCTCAAAATGAATTTACTTACCAACCAAAACGCCCCTAGAAACACCAGAAATAGCGAGGATATTATAAAGATTCCCAAATTCACAAAGTCCCAACGATCAAATTTCTACACCATAAGATATGCGACTATCTGGAATTCTCTTCCAGGTTATATCCGGAAAAGTCGAACCCTAATCGAATTTAAAATAAAAACTAAGAAATTCCTTTCAAATAACAATACACATTTATTTTTGAATAAGATAGGACATTTTTCAAGTCAATTCTTTGATATTGAATTTGGTCCAAAAGGGCTCTGATGATGCCTGCCGATTGAAAAATACCGGAGCATAGCACTAAAAATAATCAAATTTATAAAAGATAGCATCATTGATAAACATAGAACAGATAATGATATTCCTCTATTTTCCTCCCTTTCTCGTTTTCATCAGCTATGTCACCAGACACTAAATATCCCTTATAAAGCTAATAAAAATATACCCTTCGATAAAACCCTGCATATTAGTCGTGCGTATGTCTATATTAAAGCCATATTAAACATATACAGAACTATATTAGGTCATAGTAAACAGTCGACCACTACTCCTATAATTTCACATTAACAAGAACAATATGATACATGATTCAATAGTATTTTGACAGTTTTGATCGTGACTTACCATTGAATGCTTCTTACTCCTGATATATATATTCATCTTTTCCAGCTCTTAGTCCAGACAACGATGGTAAGCCTCCTGAAAAAATACGTCGGAACTGTGCGAGCGCCCCTGTAGTAGGCGGGCCACTCACTCGTCCTTTCTTCCCTATGGCGATGGTCTTTGCGGCTGCTGTTTCTTCAAGGATTGGCTTAAACTCAGTACTGTACGTCACCTCTGAATGGTATGGATCTTTAGTGTCACTCATTCTTCAATCAGAAACTCAAGCCAGCGCGAAACTCAGTAGAAGGAAAACGGTCTGTACACAAGAGATTTATACAGTAAAATAGGGTATAAAGGGACGGGAAGCGTATAGTCTCAACGAAGATGGGGGATAACGGCGGTCAAAGGGAATTGTTAAGCACCTCACTGCTGTGGTTCTTGGGTAGGTACTACATTCACTGAATTCGTCTCCTCAACTCCGTTTCAATACTCCTTCTTATCTGTAATGTGACGAAGAAAAAGGCTCGTCCGAAGCACAGCACCACAGATCGCCGTTTTTGTCTTCTTCTTTTTGACTTCCCGCCAACTTCACCCAGTCTGACACTACACACTCCCCTCCTCAGTTGGAGCCCTGTCCGCAGGGCTCGCCGTTAGCGTGGTCTCTATTATTTCTTCGCTAGTCGGAATGGGCACTAAACTTGGAGGAACGATGGGCAAGGTGTCCTCTGTAGCCGTAGGTTGGCGTCCCCGGTATGGCTTAAGCTTGTCAAAATGCGCGGTGAACGTTGGGCCATCAGGGTATGACGCGTCCCGAAGTACGTAAGTAGTGGGATGTAGAACGTCTACGACACCATATGGTCCTTCCCAAGGATGGAAGAACTTTGCTGAAGTGCCAAGGGGGGTACTGGGCGGAAGCGCCACACTAGGTCGCCTAATTGGTAGGGAGTACCATGTATCCGGCGATCGAAGTAGTTTTTTTGTCTTTCAGCGGCTGCTCCGAGATGATCTCTTGCAAGGTTGTGGGTTGTGCGTAGTAATTCTTGTAGTTGCCACATATAGTCGTCTGGATTGCATTCGTTGGGTGCGGCTTCCGGCACGCGGGAGTCTATCGGTAGGCGGAAATGGCGCCCTGTGAGCATAAAGAAAGGGGAGTATCCCGTCGAGGTATGCTCCGCGGTGCGATATGCCATCATCACGCATGGTAACTGTTTGTCCCAATCGTGGGGGCGGTTCTCTTCAGCAAAGGCCTTCAGTAATTGTGTCAGTGTGCGGTTAGTTCTTTCAACTTGGCCATTTCCTTCCGGGTGAGCAGGAGTAGTTCGTGTCTTATAAATGTCGAGCAAGTCGCACACATCTTGTAATAGTTTGCTATCAAAATTCGCTCCGCAGTCTGAGTGGACGGATAGGGGCGCTCCGAATCGGCAGACCCAGTTGTTAAATATCGCGGTAGTTACCGACGCAGCGTCTTGGCGTAGAAGGGGTACTGCCTCTGCCCACTTGGTAAAATAATCAACCATTACTAATATAAATCGATGACCGGAAGTAGTGAATGGTAATGGGCCGATAATGTCTAGGCCTAGGCGTTGAAACGGGAAACCTGTGAGCATCGGCTGGAGTGGTGCTCGGTGCCGTTGTTGAGGAGCCTTGAATGTAGCACATGTCTTGCAAGTGTTGCAAAAGATGGCCACCTGATCGCGGAGATGAGGCCACCAAAACCGCTGGCGAGCTGCGGCTTCTGTCTTGTTTCGTCCTACGTGTCCTAACTCGGCATGCAGATCTGTGAGCACTGCTTGTACCAAGCTTCCTGGGACTACCACTCGGCTGTGTCTCGTTACGTTGTCTCTAATTAGTAAGATATCGTTTTCGATAAAGAGTTGTGACCACTGGTTACGGAGAATATAGGCTGCTTCGGACGAGCCACGTAGTTCAGTATCGGTTGATCGGTGTTGACCACGCGTCAAATGGTCATAGACTACCGCGGTGTCCGGGTCCGTACTCTGAGCCACTGCCCAGTGGTGTCGTGTCGGCTCGCTGGCGTAAACCGCGGTGACCTCGTCCCTCGGAGTGTTGACTGCTCTGGTTTCCGTATTAGGGGGTCGTCGAGATAGGGCATCCGCATTAGCGTGTTGTTTACCTGATCGGTAGATGCAAGTGAACTTGTATTCCTGTAGTATTTCTTGCCAACGGGCGAGTTGTCCTTCCGCGTCCTTTGTGCTCTGCAGCCACTGTAGAGCCTTGTGGTCGGAGCGTACGATAAATGGCCTGCCCAGCAGGTAGGGGCGAAACTGTTTAATGAATGTAATAATGGCTAGTAATTCACGCCGATATGTGCAATAATTGCGTTGTGGTTTTGACAAGGTTTTACTCGCAAAGCATAACGGTTTTTCTTGACCACTGTTATCCGCCTGTGAGAGTACTGCGCCAATAGCGAACGCGCTAGCGTCAGTATCCAAGATGAAAGGGGGTGCATCCGCGGAGACATCAGGAAGTCTGAGTATCGGGGCTGTTGTAAGGCGGGCTTTAAGGTCGTCGAACGCAGTTTGACACTCTTCTGACCAAAGAAATCTCCGTCCTTTCTCGGTCAGTCTATGCAACGGTCTCGCAATGCCGGCAAAATCGGCGATAAAGCGTCGGTAATAGGAAGCCAATCCGATGAATCCTCGGACCTCCGTGGGGGTTTGTGGTGTAGGCCAGGATCGTATAGCGTCTATCTTCTCCGGGGCGACGCGTATGCCTGCTGCGGAGACCTCGTGGCCCAAATATGACACCTGGTGGCGAAGGAACTGGCATTTTTGTGGGTTCAGACGCAGTCCGGCTTCACGTAATGCCTCCAACACCGCGTACAGATTTTGGTTATGCTGTGCGATCGTTCTACCGAAGACGATCACATCATCAAGGTACACCAGACATTGTTGGGGATACAAGTGCGCTAGTACGACCTGCATGAGTCGCTGGAAGGTAGCGGCTGCATTGCACAATCCAAACGGCATAGTCTCGAACTCGAACAACCCTTGTGGCAGGATAAAGGCCGTCTTCTGACGATCTGTAGGTTCCACCTCTACCTGCCAATAGCCCGACTTGAGGTCTAAGGTGGAAAACCACTGGGATCCGGCCAATGCATCCAAGGTACATTCTATACGCGGTAATGGGAACGAGTCGCGTGTCATGACCGCGTTTAGGCGTCGGTAATCGATACAAAACCGCAGTTTACCGTCTTTCTTGGGTACCAATGTCACTGGGGAGGCCCACGGGGAGTGCGACGGTCTAATTACTCCCGTAGCTAGCATGTTATCTAATAGATCGCGAACTTCATTTTGGTACTGGACAGGAATCCGACGCGGATGTTGCCAAATGGGCTTAGCAGAGCCGGTCTCGATGGAATGCCGGATGCGGTTCGTTCGGCCTAGGGAATACTCGTCCCACGCAAACACGTCCTCGAAATCGAGTAGTAGGACTTTGAGGGCCTGACGGTCACGGTCGGTTCCCCCCGCCTTTGATAATATATGGTTCACAGAAGTAGGCGGTATTTGCACTGAGGTCTGGATAGCCGCACATATGGCTGCGTCATCGAAAACTATCGCTGACGTCATGGGTTCTTCTTCCTTTTTTGTGTTGAACTGTACCGTTCGCTGTTTAACGTCTATCTGACAGCCGTGTCGTGCTAAGAAATCAATTCCGAGCACCAAATCCCATGTTAATTTGGGGGTCACGATGAAAGTGTGGCTGGACGTGCTCTGTGGGAGGGTTACGTCAAGTGATACGGTTCCTATATGATTCATTCGAGAACCGTCTGCTGCTGTCAGCTGAGTGCACGGACATGCCGGTCTCCTGATAGCGTATAGCTGTTTTGGTATGATTCGTGGATTAACTAGGGAGACTGTGGCTCCTGTATCTATCAGCGCATTAACTTCTTGGTTGTTAACTAATAATCGAGCATAGAATGGAGTTGCCTTATCGTGGAGATCGTTGCATGAGGTAATGGACAGTGTACTTGGTGTATGGCTGCAGGTGTACGCCTGGTTGCGGTACGGCGGACGACCTCCGGGTCTACAGAAAGGTCTACCTTGCTGGTTATATTGGCTGAAGCTGGGGCCTGTGAAGCGAGGTCTAAGAGGGAGGCGGCCCCTTACCAAAGCTAAGTCAGGTCGACGCCAATGGTGTCGATATGATTGCTTTGGGTGGCCCTGAGTGGCGCTGTCCAACCTGATATAACGTTCTGCTCTGTGTAATGCATCTCGCAAATCACCAGGCGGTTGTAGTACAAGTGACCGTGACAGTTCGGAGGGCGGTAGGGCTTTAATAAAATAATGAAGCACAATGTTATCCTTATCCTCAGATCCTAATGAAGGAAAAGCCACAGTTGTCAGGCGTTCGAGATCCTGCACCAGCTGGTTCAGGGTTTCGTCCTGTTTCAATCGCCGTTCCTGCAACTGATCCATCGCGTCGCCGAAAGAGTACGTTTGGCTGAACAAGTTAGCCAGGCGTTGGCAAAGCGCGTCAAGGGGTAGATCGGCGTCAAGGCCAGCGTCGAGCGCTTTATCTAACTGTTTAGGCGCAAGGGCCTTGAGTAGCGTCCAGGGCCTGTCGGCCTCTGAGATCTCCCGTAAATAGAATTTCGCGCGTCTGAGCCACACCATAACAGACTCGGTACCATCGAAGGGTGGTATCTCGACGGTGCGCGTTGTGTTTATTTGGTTGCCAGACATGCGCAGGGGATGTGGGCACGGTCGTTGCGCTGCCACCACTGTAGTAGGCGGGCCACTCACTCGTCCTTTCTTCCCTATTGCGATGGTCTTTGCGGCTGCTGTTTCTTCAAGGATTGGCTTAAGCTCAGTACTGTACGTCACCTCTGAATGGTATGGATCTTTAGTGTCACTCATTCTTCAATCAGAAACTCAAGCCAGCGCGAAACTCAGTAGAAGGAAAACGGTCTGTACACAAGAGATTTATACAGTAAAATAGGGTATAAAGGGACGGGAATCGTATAGTCTCAACGAAGATGGGGGATAACGGCGGTCAAAGGGAATTGTTAAGCACCTCACTGCTGTGGTTCTTGGGTAGGTACTACATTCACTGAATTCGTCTCCTCAACTCCGTTTCAATACTCCTTCTTATCTGTAATGTGACGAAGAAAAAGGCTCGTCCGAAGCACAGCACCACAGATCGCCGTTTTTGTCTTCTTCTTTTTGACTTCCCGCCAACTTCACCCAGTCTGACACTACACCCCCTTACAGCTGGCCAGATAGACTGACAACCAACAACTAGAGCAAACCGAAATTTACCCAACAGGAAAATAATTTCAAGGTCAGGCCGATATCAAAGTTCTTCAATTGCCATGAAGGACATATTATTCATGCCCCCGAAAACTACCAAACTGCAAACTTCAATTTTTATATTGTACACATCGTTATTTTTTGAAACTTTTGTTATTATTTTCCCTTAGAACTGAGGTTTTTTTTAACTTAAAACAAACTCTCAATTCGCGCTCTTTTGGCTAACCAGGCACCCGAAGCAAATGAAGTCAAAGTGCAGTTGAAATTGACGAGTTTGTTTTAGGTTTTTTTCCTGAGTTCAAAGGGGACTGACAGTGCCCAAGGGGCGCTACAATAAACCTATTCTATTCTAAGAAGCCAATCCTACACAGACAAGCTGAATTTTCGTAACTTATTTCCCCTGTGTTACAGGCAGCAAAGAGGTGATCATACCCTCGTCTACAAGAAAATACATGGCCTCAAACATGGACTTAAATTTGAGGACATGTTTCAGTGGCACCTTTCACCCAATCCTTGTGGTCACTCGATGAATTTGCGGACAACAATTTTCAGGATGAAGCTTCGTTCTGAATCTTAAACGCAGAGGATAGTGGAGAAATGGAACGATCTCCCTTATTCAGTCGTGAAGGCGACGTCTCTGCAGCTCTTCAAGAAACGTTTGGTGATTATTTGTGTCCCCTGTTTTCCCTCGACAGTCTGAATCTGAACTAATAGCCCACGACTCCGCAAATATTTCTCTAAGACAATGCTAATCAAATGAACCAAGTACTATTTTAATAGCGAATATTTTTATTGTTCGTGAGCAGATATTTCTAAGGAGCTGACATGTAATCAATAGGGTTATCAAAGGCTTTGCCTATTATCCTTACCAAATAAACTGAAAAAATAAACTCCATATACTGACCTTTTTGCAAGTGATCATGCATTAATTCATTGTCGCCTTGCAGTTGCCACTTCCGCAAAGCCAACAGTACAACGTAGCATTTTTGACTTTGCTAATATTAACAAGGAGTTAGCAAATAATTCTGCAAGCACTCTTGATTGGCACAATATTTGTTCAAAAAATCATCTAAATTTTTTTAACAATTTATTGCAATGCGTAACAGAAGGTCATCTCGATCTTGTTCCACAGAAGACGTTTAAGTCGAGTGCCACTTCCACCGCTGTCCCACACTTTTTTAAAAACAGACTTAAAAAGCTACGGAAACAGCTTAAAGATCCTTCTGTGAGCTCATTATTAGTTCACCTAAGAATCGTAGAAATATTTTAATTAGCTTCGAAAATGAGGTTCGCGCAATATAGGCGTAGAGAGTCTAAAACTATTAATGGAGCGAATGCTTCTAAATCGATTGCCCAGATCTTCCGTCAAAGACCATCTGCTAAAGCCCACCAAGTCATTCCGACTTTGCTTAGTACCAACTATACGTTCCTTACAGAGGAGTCAGGCAAGGCAGAAGTGTTAAATTCATTCTTTGCTAAACATTTCACCATTGAACCTAACCAATCCCTTTGACTTCTCCGTTGCCTAATGCCTCTCTCAGCATCATTAATTTTTCTCCTGAAACTATTAACACACTGATAAACCGCATTCCTAACTCTCACTCAGTAGGTACAGACAGTATCCCAAACTATCTTATAAAACAGCTAAGAGATTTTACACCTCTGCTTGGCGAAATCTTTTCGGTATTTCTCGTAAATGGCATCTGTTCTGACTATTTGAAAACTTTCATTATTATTCCAGTATTTAAGTCTGGTTGTCGTTCTGACGTAAAAAACTATCGAGGTGTCCATAAAACATCTTCTCTCGCCAAAATCTTTAAAAAAATTATCGCCTTCAAAATTACGAACTTTTGCATAGACAATCAAGTTATTAGCCCTTCACAGCATGGTTTTTTACCAGATCGCTCTTGTGAAACGTGTCATATGTCGTTTTTCAATTTACTTGCTTCTTTTCTTAATGATCATCTATCTGTTGTCGTTAGTTATTTTGATCTTAGTAAAGCCTTTGATAATTTCAGTTCAGTTCAGTTCAGTTTATTGAGGGAAATAGGCGTAAGCCTTTGAGTACCCTATTTGCAACGTAAAAAATGTGTGGTGTACAGATAGATGTTCTGGGCTGAAATAGTTCGAACACGCCCATAATGGTGGGACAAAATGAGAAGGAGTTACAGGGGGTGAGCTGGACTTCTCATCGCTCTTGGTCATTTCGGAACATAAATATGTCCAGATTCTTCTTAAAACTTTGTATAGATGGTGACATCACAACATCTGCGGGAAGCTCATTCCACGGTTTGACCACCCGAACCGAGAAGGAGAACTTCCGCACATCCAGCCGTGCCTGCTGAGTGCGCAGTTTTAACGGGTGACCTCGGAGGTTGGTCGTGGTAGCAAATTCAAAAAAGTCTTCGAAGGCCAGACTGCAATTCAACCCCTTTATAATGCGGAAGGCTTGCAAGAGATCTCCGCGAAGTTGCCTGTAACTCAAAGGAAAGAGGTTCAGATTTACTAGGCGGGTCGCATAAGGAAAGGAGCTTTGACCCCTAACCATCTTCGTGGCTCTCCTCTGGACTCTTTCGAGGCAGCTTTGATCCATAACAGCCCACGGCCTCCAAGCTTGTATGCCGTACTCTAAATGCGGCCGGACGAATGTTCCGAATGTCTTAGAGAAGGCTTCTTCGTCAAAGTCCATAAACGCACGCTTGATGGCGTACAGTACGGACATTGCGGTTTTTGCCACCCTCGAACAGTGGGCGGATGGTTTTAGGGAACTCGTCGTAAGCACACCGAGGTCCTTTTGGGCTTCGACCTCTTGTAGGGCTGCACCACCCAGAAAGTAGCCTCTTGTGCTGGCGGATCTGGCTGTGTTGCATAGGCGAAGTATGCTACATTTGGCAACGTTGAACCGCAGGAGCCAACGGTTTGACCACTCCTCCAACCGATTCAGGTTCATCTGCAGTCTGTCTTCATCGGCAGGACCACGAATTACACTCCATATCTTCATGTCGTCCGCAAACATTGCTACTTCACAGTCCAAATCTCTTGCGGCATCGTCCACGTAGATAAGGAACAAAATGGGTCCCAGTACTGAACCCTGGGGGACACCACTATCGACCATAGCCGGATCTGATTTTCCCCGACCGACGCACACAACCTGGTGTCGACCCAGAAGGAAGTTTTCGATCTATTTAAGGAAGTTGCCACCTATCTCTATTTTTTCAGCTTATATAAGAGCCTTTGGTGTGGCACAGTGTCGAAAGCCTTCTGGAAGTCGATGAAGGCTATGTGGACCGCGTGCCTGTCGTCGAGAGCTCGGGTCCAGCTCTGGAGAGATTGCAGGAGGTTTGTCGTGCAGGATCTTCCTTTTCGGAACCCATGTTGGCATTTCGATAGCAGGCCGTGAACTTCCAGGAATTGCATTAGTTCACACTTTATGATCCTTTCCATAACTTTGCAGAGAATGCATGTCAAGCTTATGGGCCGGTAATTTGTCGTCGCTGCCCTGTTACCTCCTTTGTGTAGCGGAGTAATATGCGCCAGCTTCCAATCGACAGGAAGTGTTCCAGTGTCAAATGACGTTTGAAAGAGCATCGACAAAGGCACAGAGAGCTCGCTGGCAAGTTCCTTCAGAAGCTTGGATGGAATCTCGTCTGGTCCTGGCGACTTCGATTCGTTCAATGCCTCTAATTCTCTTCGGACAATGCCTTCTGAGAAGAATATATCACTGACGCTTGGAGTCGGCAGTTCTTCTGTGGAGGGGGGAAGGAAACTTGCCTCGTTTGTATAGACTGATTGGAAAAACCGTGAAAAATACGCAGCTTTATCCCTACTATCAGCGATCTCAACGCCATCAGTAGTCTTTATCAAGGGGATTTGATGCCTGTTCCTTGTAGTTCGTCGGAGGTAGCTGTAGAGTAATTTTGGGTTCTGCGTTGCTTTTTGTAGCAAGTTCTTCTCGAATTCCCGCCGCGTCTGAATTATCAGCTTCCTCAGTTTGTTCCTCTGTGTCTTGTAGGTGTTGAAGCATTCAGCTTGTCTAGTGACGCAGTATTTTCTCCACAATTTGTGCTTCCTGTTGATTTCTTTTTTGAGGTTGCTATTTAGCCACCCAGGGCGTTTGTTCAGTCTTACACTAGTCAGTGGGCAGTGGTTGTTGATGAGCTGCAGAAGGACATTCTTGAACAGCTCCCAGTCATCGTTGGCACTTCCCGTAAACAAAGAGCCCCAGTCAAGACCGGATAAGTCTGCCCTCATCTGATTGAAATCGCCCCGCCAAACATTACGCCTTTTGTGGCCTGGAGTGTGTGAAACGGAGAATAACGAATAATCCCACATAAGCACTACGTGGTCACTTCGGCCAAGGGGCGGCATGGAGGCGATCTCGTCTATGCTGTTTGGTGTTTTCGTAAAGACCAGATCAAGGCAGTTTGCCCTTTGTCCTGCACGTGTTCTCGTTGGGAACATTACATGTTGTGTGAGGCACGCATTTAATGTCTTGCTCAACAGGCGGTAATCGAATGCCGATTTTGGATAAATTATCATATAGAAGACTCTTGGTTAACTTAGAAGCTCTGGGAATTCGCAGTCCTCTAATAGGCTTAATCAAGTCA